AAAAAACTGTCCAAAACAGTAAAAAAAAAAAAAAAGAACATTTGACCTTAAAAACAAATTTTTATATTATTTTTATTTTGTTTTCTTTTACTGTTTTTAAAATGGTCAAACATTTGAGTTGACAGATATTTGCTGTTATATATATATATATATATACACATTAGGTTTTTTTCAACTGTTGTTGTACAGATTTTCCTTTTTGTTAAATTACATATTTAGTGAAATCACTAAATAAATAAATACATTTACATGTTGACTGTGAAAAAAACCCAACAGGTAAAAATTTATATTTTCACAGACAATAATTAGTTAAATTACTTTAAAAAAAAAAAGTATTTAAACCAGCAAACTATAATTATTTCTACATATATTTGTTGTTATTCCAAATGTAAACTGTGTATATTAAATAAAAGTAAAATAAAGAATTCTTTTATTAAATGTTATTTTACAGACTTTTCCTGTTTTGTTGAATTACAGATAATAACTATAGAAAAAAGTATTAATTTAAATGATGGCTGTTAAAACAACAAAAGGGCAAAACCGTAAATAATGTCCACAACAAATATTTTTATGTTGTTTTTAAATCAGCAAAAATATTTATATTAATTTAAAAATATTTACATTTTTGCTGTCATTTGGAAGGAAAATTGAGTATATTAAAATTAATATTTTACAAATAGCTTGTTTTTCACAGTCCACAGTGAAAACCCTTAAGAAAAGGAAAATGGCTCAACCTTTCTCTTTGTCATCACAGAACTCTATCACAGTCAACATCTGGTAAGAAGTGAGACAGACAGGTCAGCTGATCAAATCATTATTTTCTTGGTCAGATCATCATCTGACAGAATGAATATAAACAAAGGTTAACAGTAAAAACTGAGCTCTAACAAACGGCTACAGTGATGTTTAAAATGAGTGTTTTCAGATAAAGTTAGAAGCAGCAGAAAGATCCATCTGCTGATTCACAGCCTTTCAAAAGCTTCAGTTTCAGCTCATTACACCTCCGTTCAGTCTCCTGCTGCAGTCTGCAGACACCTGTTTTCCTCTTTTTCTTCACAGATCCACAAACTGCAGAGTTATTGTTATAAAACAATGCAAAGAAAGCGGCTGTTGGTAGGTCCAGGATGTTTGACAAACTGAGATCTGTGCTACAATTGGGGATTTTTCCATCCATTACTGATTCAAACTGCCGTGCTATTTCCACATTCACTTATTAATAAAGTAAAGTAATGAGATGCAAACATCATTCTTCCAACATCCTCGAAGGCAGCCATTCAGGAGCTGATGTCCGCATTAGCAGCATCATCTACTGTATCGATCATCAACGTCACACACTAACTGAACCTCATTCGCACTCATTAGTTCCGTCTTTCAACACAATTGATCTGTTTTCAGTGCAGCTCCTTTGTTTTTCTTTTCTGGATTTACTCTCCTGAAACCGGGCATTTGATTTATGTGTTGGCCCTGGAGAGGAGGCACATGAATGACAAAAACAGAGCTGGAGAGATATATTTCACATCCTCCTCCTGAAATACAAGTACACAGAGGTTTAGCGATGCATGAAGTCAGGTTTGAATGGACAACCAATCTGAAAATAAAGGCCGTGGGACAGTTACTCCAAGATGGTCAAAGAAAAGTTGGAGTGAACAAAGACGGCTGGAAGCAGAGCACAAGGAAAGCTAAAATGCTACTTTATACATGAATTCATTCTTTTTATCATCCCGTCAGCTGGAATACCCACAGATCTATAGATCTGGTGTACTGATCACCATGTGGCTCACTGCATCACATGATCATTTTTAAAGTTTTGATCTTTACTGATCTTCGGGCGGCGTGAAAATGCGAAAAAGGATTTGAAGCGAGACATCACTTCAAGTTTTTCCAAATTTGTGGCAGTCTCTTGAATTGCTTCATTAGATCCTTGGCTAAGCTAAAACCCTTTTCAGACGTGGAACATTGCTAACTTCATCAAGCTGTGATGTGACGGCTTTGTAGTGTTTCTGCCACGGTATGCGTGTAAAAATTACCATCTAACACATGAAATGAATCAATTTCCCCAATAAAACAAATGCAGACACTACTTACTAAAGGAAATTTAAGGATTTAAGGATCTATTCTGCTGAAAAGAAAAGAAACAGACGTTGTTGCATGATGTAAGATATCAGTTTATTTGTTGGAGGAAGAGCTGCTCTGAAAAGTTTATGGAAGCCAGTTGATTTGATGTGACATCCCTGTACTCATAGATCTGGGGTTGCGATCACGTCCTGTATATCATACAAAATGGAGGGAGCACTTTACTTACTGTTATGATACGTTGAGTTTGGCGTTTTGCTGGTGGTCTTTTGTAATGAGCGAGCAGTGGACACTGAGCACTTGCGACCTGTCAATCACAAGGTGGCCCCGCCCTAAAACATACCCGGCTTTATTTTCTATTTTATTCCACATGGGACCATATTATGAAACGAACATCATGTTTTATTCAAAAAGTATCAACTGAGACCATAAAATCATGAATAAAACGTTTACTGAGGTAATAAATCAAGTGGTCATTTTTTAATAGACTTCTATATAACTGGACTTCTTGTTGCAACTAGATGAGTCGCCACCTGCTGGCTGTTAGGAAGAATACACTACTAGAGCATTTCCATGTTGTTTTTAGACATGGAGGCTACGTGTGCAGTCCAGTATCCATGCTAACATACTAAACAGTATACCAGGAAAAGATTTAGTAGGTCCCAATATATAATACGTCAAAGGTAGTGTGCCAAAAATACCCACGTCCGATGACATCTGGTCACATTTTAAGTCGCAAGCACGCTTTTTTGGGCATTCTGATCCACAATCCTCTGTGCAGTTATGTTACATATGTTGTCCACACAAGTATAAACACACTTAAGCTGACTACAGCGCATGGATAAATGAAGGCTCATTTTTCGAACTTTAAGGCACGATATTATGACAAACTGGTAAGTCCCACATGTATGTACACTACATGAAACAGTATGCAAGGTATAAGGGCAGTACTTACCCAAACTAACAAGGAAAAACTAGGTGATTTGAGCACAATGTATGTCTTCTATATGCAGTCTATGGTTACAGTATGTAACCAACATCCAGCTAACCAATCAGAGCAGACTGGGCTCTTTAAAAAAAAGAAGAAGAAAAGAAAGAGGAACCAAACTGAGCATTTCAGACAGAAGGTGAGAAGCGATAATGCTGCAACGTACAGTACGAGAAAACTACTTTTTTAACATTAAAACATGCAAACATGTTTCCACTTACGAACCTACATGTGCAGAATACAAGCTCTTCAACTGTGGCCAAGACCTGGATCAGCAGCAGTATATACATCTAAATTGGCTAATGGATAGTCAGGAAAAAACACAAGTTAAAGCTTTGTAAACGACTGCTAAAGTACCTCTGAATAAGCACCCAGAAAGGTGACAGGTTTGCAGATATGTGTGTATGCAAATATTGGAAAGAGCTTGAAAAGTAAACTTAGCCAAAAAAAGTAGTCTACTCATGAAGTGTTTTTAAAACTGGCTTTCTAAACATCAGGCTTTAAAAGTGTTTGTTGACTCACAGGTGATGCAGCAGCAGCTTCTCACTGGTGCTGATCTATAAGTGCCCGTATTAGCATGAACTGCAGGCTGTTGTATGAAGAGGCCTGCTGTGAGCTACTGAATTGGTCAGGAGGTGTCTGAGGAGGGGGGCTGTACAGTGCTGCTGTGAAAGACCCTCACATTCTATAACGCTCAAGGTCCTGGAGGTGCATGCATGCACAGCAAAAGCACAAACACACCCAGCGGTATGGAGACATGAAT